GTTAATAATACTTGTCACATATCCATTTTTGAAATTGAATTCTTGGATTGACTTCTTGTTAACTCCATAAAAGGGTGTGGTGTAGGAATTTTACTAAGTCCACAATGGATACCAAATATTCCAACATAGATTAACATCCTCTAAAAACTAATTTGACCCCAAAGAAATTAAGCTTGTGAACAAGAGAAAAATGTACATGTTTATTATTCTTTTATATTTAAGTCCATATATAATTTTTATAGCTCTATGATTTTGTATTTATAAGATAAATAAATAAATAAATAAATAATGTTAAACTTAATTTTTATCTCATCATAAAAATAATATTAACTTAACATTTTATCATTAGTGAGTATTACAATTTTTTCTTTTACATGATACAATAATGAAATTTCATAATCTAAAATTTTGATTCCAATATAATTCATGCTTTCAAGTTTTGTTTGTAATAAACAAGATATTTTAAGTTAATATTTTAATGATACACTAAAAAAATAATAATAAAAGTATTAATATTAATTAAGGGTGTCAAATTAGGTTTAATTCGATGGGTCGGCTTGAAAAATCTAAAAAATAAGTTAGATTAGACAAAAATATTTATGACTTAAATTGAATCAAGTCTATTTTAGAATGGTTCATTTTGATTATGACTTACACAAACTTATGTTAAATTAATATATAGATTTATGGGTTGATTGTTTTATAGAATAATAATAATAATTTTTAAATAAAAATAAAAATAATATTATTTTATTAAATATATATATATATATATATATATATTATAAATTAATTTAATAAAAAATTTACTTATTTTAAGATTAAATATAAAAGTAAAATTTCTAACGTTGACTTATTCCATCATTTAATAATTAAAATAAATTATTATTTTAAATTAATAAATTAGTACAAAAAATTAATTAATAATGACAATAAAAAGTAATATTTTAATTCTTATTTTTGGACTAAACAAATATTTTTTTATAATTTATATATTAAATCGTTATATTTAAAGTAAAAATTATTTTTATTAATATAATTGAAATTTTTAAAATATATTATTAATTTTATTTAAATATTTTTTAATTAAATGTTTTTATATAAAGATGTTAATAATTTTTTTAATTTTTAATTAAGTTAAAATTAATTCGTTAGTAAATTAATCTTACATAAGTTAAATAAAAAAATTATAATTCGTTTAAAAATATAAAACACGTTATAACATTAAATTTTTTTTACTTACCTTAGGATTAAGTTAGAGTGGGCTGGACAGAAAGTTTTGTCAGCTATTAATTAACATTTCATCAACAAAAATTATTATTTATTAAAAAATAGTTTTCTTAATTTAATTTTATACTTCAATTAATTTATACTTAAGTTCTTTTAAATACTGTAAATTTTCTCCTACCGTAATACTTGTTGTCTAAAAATAAAATAATATCTACTTGTAAGTTTGTAGGAAGTGCTTCAAATCTATGATAAAATATTCCTTAAGCTTTTAAATTCTTTATTTATTTGTCGAAGAATTTCTTTTTTAGTTGTTCCAAAATTTAGAAAGACGTCATAAAATATACTGATATGAGTAAAATATTTTTATTGGATATTATTTGAAAATTTTTTACATGATTCTTAATAAAAACTCCCTGTATATGATAATTTTTTATTAGATGACAATATAAAAATGTATTATATTTGTGTTAATATAAAAAAGTAACAATAATTAGTGATGATTTTTTTAATGAAAAAAAGAATAGTTGAAGAATTCTTTATACATAATTAAATAATTGTACGAGTAGTTATTGTTAAAGTCAAATAATTTAATTTTTATTTAAAATAAAAAAATAAAAAGTTAAAATACTTAATAATTATATTAAAATTAAATCTATTAAATATGTATTAATGGATTATATAAGTATTTAATTGATTATATAATTTAAATTTAAATTTATATATTATGTATTAATAATTGATTACGTTGTTATTTAATTGAGTATATTATTATTTAATTGATTATGTTTAGTATTAGAATCTAGTATTCTAAAATTTTAATTGAATTTGTTTTTTTAATTTTGATCATATATTAATGAACGTGAGATGAACAACATATTTTTGGTTTTGTAGATCTTAATTAAAGTCTATTAATCTGATTCTTGATTACTGAATAACTTTTAATAAAAATTCAAATTAAGATTATATGCAGATTCTAAGAAATCCAATAAATATAAATCTATATATATATATATATATATATATATTATTTTGATATTCTTTTAATCTTAACACATTTTTTAATTTTTTTAAATTTGATTATAATTTTTTTAAAATAATTAATTAGATTTAAAAAAGTTTTTACAGGTCCAATTTAGAAATTTAGGATTTTCTAACCATTTTTTCAATTTCTTAAATTATTTTCATTTATGATTTATATAAAATTATATCAGTATCATTGAACCTAGAAAAAAGACGATGATGTTAGAGGTTCAAAGATTGAAAGCCAAGTTGAACAAGACTGAAGTGACAGCACAAAATCTAGAGAAGCACGTGTAAAAATTAAAGCATCGAAGACAACAAATGTCAGATGTTCATGCCAGTTTCTTCTGTCGCATCATCATGCATATAAAAATGTTCGGTGCGAAAAACTTTCATATTTTGTGCGTTTGTGTTTTTTTAGGAATAAAATAAGTTAATCTTCTTTATTTCGTAGGGATATTAATTTTTTAATTATATAAAAAATTATTGTTTTTATTAAGTCAAGACATTCACATAATGTTAATTATACGTTAAATATTCTAATTTACGTGATGATGAATTTATTTTTTTATTACGATAATTAAAATTATATTAATACATGCATCTAAACTTTTTTATATAGCGTATCTCATGAGTTAATCAACCTTAATATTTTAAAGGTTGAAATATTAATTTTTACTGTTAAATTAAAATAACTTATTTGTAAGATTATAAGATTAAATACTTTTAAAAATAAAATATCAAATTATGAATTAAAAATAATAGATCGAAAATTCATTTTTATCTTTTTTATTTTTTAATTTAGCAAGTTGTGCATATTTTGCAAGAAATAAAATTTGTATCAAAAAATACTCGTGACTAAGATATAAAAAATGAATATACATGAATAATTTAAATGGATATTTTACCACATTAATGAAGTACAAACGATGTGGATAATGGTATCTCGTTAATGTACATTTTATAAACACGTGTTTACTTGAATTTATTTTTTAAAAGGGTAAGTTTTAGATGATTTGATTTTTTTTAAATGATAAATTGATATACTTATATCATGTAAACAAATTAGTTATCATTGTTATTATTAAGAAAATATATATATATATATATATATATATATATATATATTTATTTATAATATTTACATTTTTTTTTCATAAATTTATAACAAAATAAAGTTTAAAATTTTAAAAAATATTTTAAATAAACATTAATTAATATATAAATAAAGTAGACCTATAAATCGTTAGAGTTAAATGTGATATATATATATATATATATATATATATATATATATATATATATATATATATATATATATATATATATGTGTGTGTGTGTGTGTAAAATTAGCTTGTATTATATTTATGAGTATATCCTAATATTAATCCTACAAATAAGTAACACAAAGTAATGGGTAGGTCCTATGTTGTCATTACATCTCTCGGGTTTTGTTTCATATTTTCAATTTGAAAATTCTATTCAAAGAAATCTGCTGTCAACAAATACTCTGTTCTTCTACTTCCCGTCCACCAAACTTTCATAAATAATAATATAAATTAAATAATTATTTTAAATAAAAAAGTTTTAGTTACTGTTTTAAAATAAAATCATTTCACTAGTTTTTTTTAATAATATATTTATAAATTAAATTTTATAATTTTTTAATCAATATTTACTCAACTCAAATTTATTAAAATTATTTTATTATCTTATTATATATTATTTTATTATTTATTAATTATTATCTTTTAAGTTATTATTATTTTCTAGATTTTATAATAAACTTTTTCTTATTACTCATCATCAAATATATTATTTTATTATAAAAAATACACTATTTTTTTAATTTATGTTGTTAGTAGAATATATATACATCACATCTTAAATTTATTTTATATTTAATTTTATGTTTTTATTAACCCAGTTTAAAATTAATTATTCTAAATATAACTTTTAAAATAATTATTATAAAGTTAACACCAATAGTCACGTCTGTGGCTTTGATAATCAGCTAGTAAATTTATCTTTATAATTTTTAAGGTGAACAATAACTCATTATAAATTCCTATTTGGATATCTTAATTTTCTTTATCCGTCACCAAAAAAACTCATGTATTTATTATCTTGTATTTTTTTAAAGTTTTATACATAACAACATTAGTTATTTTTATAAAATAAATTACTAAATCAAGTAATATCTCAATTATCTATCGATTAAATAATTAATAATTATTTGTTATTAGTTGTGCTAACCGGCGCTTTATTTAAGGATTTAAAAGAATTTTGTTTTATTAACGATTATATAAAAACACATAAAAAAGTAATTAAACATTTTAACATATTCTAATTAAATAAAATTTCTTTTAATTTCTTAATATTAATGTCCTGAAAATACTGATTATTTTTTATTTAAGTGGTTAGCATATCATAATACAATAGTGTGTCTAATATATATATATACAAGAAGTCATTTTCAGAGGAAGAATAAACAAAGATATCGGAAGAGATGAGAAGAAGATTAATTAAAATGATCGTACGAAGAACAATACTATAATGTTTTTCAACAGTAGCACTTTATTCATAAAGTAAGTGCATAATTCATGTGTTATGCACAGGCTACAGAGAGTAAACACTCGAAAGTAACATAGTTCATAGATGCAGTGCTAGTCTTATTCCCTCTCTCTATATATAGTTGTTTTATTTATAAAATGCCCTGCATGCACGCTTCTTCACGTTGGAGAATCTGCTTAACAGTTTTTGGTGCACCAGCAGCGGAAATCATCCCTGCACCTGCCACTCATCAAGTGTTCTTTGTTTTTGCAGTGATCATCGCAGCTGCCATTGGTGAAGCATGGACCCCTGTATGTATCAGCCAGGTTCTCACAGTTCTTTGCCTCAGTCTGCACCACAACTTCTTCTGCATATTGAATTAGTTCATGTTTATTGGAATGTAAGAGATTTGAATTATAAAGTACTCCGTGTAGTATAAGGACTGAGAAAACTAGAAGTAACACAGCATATGTGAATAAAGTACAGTAAGTATAAATAAATTCACGGAAGAGAAAATAAGTTATGTATATATATCCACTGGAATATATAATTATAGACACGCAGAAGAATAATGAAGATATTATGAGTATAGTGACTTACGAGCAACAAAGAGGACAAGGAAGAGGAAGCATAACCCAGCTAATGATTTCTTCTCCATGGCTTAGTTAGTGAATAATGGCTAATACTTGTATCTAGTAGATGTGTGTGTGATGGGGAATATGAGGGTACATTGGTTGTGTTAATTACACACATATATATAGCACTGAGAGAGTTGAAAAGTATACAACAATGGAAGTTGCGGATGAGAAACGCAAGAAGAAAGTAGAAGAGATTATGAATGAATATGAGGAGGTTTCGGTGGATTTGTATTTTGTTCGTGTGAAAAGTCATCAGTTTGCCGCATGTGGGACAATAACAAAATTAAATTCTAGGCTTCTAGCTACAATTTGTGACACAATAATAATGCTTTATTTTTTTTCCCTCATATTTTGTTATCTATAGAGTCTTTTTGAATAAACTTCTACATAAAAAAATACTAGAAAATAAAAAAAAATTAAATTATTTTTTTATAACATTACTTTAACATAAATTATTTATAAACGTTTTCATATAAATTTATTTATTTTTTATTTTTAATTTGTGTATAATTTGTTATGTAAGGACTTTTGAAAGAAAAAAAAATATAAAAATTACTTTTTTATAAATTTTAATTAATATTAACAAACCAAACTAATTTATTGAAATTTTCTCGTATAATCTTTTCTACAAATTTTAATATAAAAATTAAAATTATGAAAAAGTTAATTTATTTTATATTCTTTTCGAATTTTCTAGATGAAGTTCATTTAAATATATGTTCTATCCGTATCTTCTTATGATAGATAACGATAAGAGCTAGTTAGAGTAAATTTTTCTCACTTACTTATATAACTAGGAAAAGGAAGTATATAAGTTAAAATAAAGAAACTAAAAAACCTTTTGTAGGTATGCTTGTTATCAATTAGTCAATGGCGGCTTGATTTTGCATGCTAAGATTTGAGAAGTATAGTTAATATTTTATTCTGGGTGGTGAGATAAGTATTTCTTATATATAATTAAAATTTATAATAAATAAATGTTTTTAATATATAAATACATTATAAATTAAATTATAATAAATATAATATTTTTAGTACATGAATCTCATCGTTGAGTTATAGTAAATAGTTTGTATTATAATATAAGGTAACTTTAATCAATAACATTATTTTTTTGGATTTTATTTAGAAATTAAGATAAAAAATAGATTGTAAAAATAAGAGAATGACGTATTAAAGGAAAATTTTTGGCTAGGTGTAAAGTTTATATATATATATATATATATATATATATATATATATATATATATATATATATATATATATATTAAAACAATAAATACAAATATACTATCGTTCGGAAATGTTAACTTGATCATTAATAGATATTTGAGTTATGGGATAAATTTTGACTTTCATTAAAAAGGGCGGGAATTTCATGTAAAAAACATTTTGATTCTTAAATCAGTAATAAAAATATGTATATCAATATGTTTTTCTCATATGATTATATATGAATAAGAGTAAGATGATATACTTTACAAACTTCTTATTTAAGATACTTTAGGTAATAAATGATACTTATTCGATGTTAATAATTTGTCTTTACTATGTTATCAAGGTTGCTTTTTAAGTGTTATTCATTATATTAATACATATTTAAGAGATATTAATTTGAGAGAATATTCTTGTTATAATAATGATATAGAATTTAGAGGAGTACACAAATCTCCCAAGCTTAAAGTTTGATTTTAATGAAGATGTATGAACTATTTTATTAAGCCTTTGAGGCTTATATTATTTTCCGACTTGAGTTTTAATTATATAGAGTTTTACATGGTATAAATTTCCTAAGTTTTGAGAAGTCTTTCCTCTTCTAGAATGAGATGGTTATTTTTCACAAGTTATTAATGAATTATTTTTGTAATGATATTACGTCGTTAAGGGTTTTTTTTCTTGAAAATAATGTTCGAGATTAGGTAGAAGGATTTCAACTCACCTTCCTTCACTTTCACTTTGCCATTTACCTTGTTGTCTTCTTCCTCGAGCCTTTTGATTTCAAGTTTTTTGAGTTTTTATCAAACATTCAAACCTTTAGGTACGTATGTCTCTATTATATCTTCTTCTTAATCCAATGGTTTCAGTTGAACCTTTAGTAGGTCATCATAAGATGCATCCTAGAGGATATGAATCTCCTGGAGATGAGAGTTCCTCAAACTCCTCCAGGAAAATGAGGGGTCCTCCTAATGTCACTATTGCTACAGTGGGTCCTAGTTCTACTATGGGAACTAGGAAGGGTAAATTCTCTCCTATATGTAATCTTGAGTACAACTAGGTACTTGGGAAAGTGAATCATTATTCTTCATTTTTCACCTTTTCTTCTTCATTAAAAGATATTTGTAAAGCGTATGACGTCTATTTTTATTCTAATGTAAAGTATATTATTGTTGAACCTTGTGATCCTTCTGATCGGGTCTATATGAAACCATCCTTGAATTGTGAAGATTTTACTTTTGTATATGAATATTTTTTCAAAGATTTAGATGTCCAAGTTCCCTTTACGAACTTTGAATGTGATATACTTTCTATTTTGTGTGTTGCTCCGAGTAAACTTTATCACAATAGTTGGACTTTCTTGAAAGTTTTTCAAATTTTAAGTGACATTACATTTGTCTCTTACTCTGAATAAATTCTTGTATTTTTATCAACTAAAACATGGTCAAACAATAGGTTGGGTATCTTTAAATGGATCCCAACACAGTAGGTCGTTCACCGATTTCCAATCTTCCTTTAAAATTTTTAAAAATAGTTTCTTGAAAATTAAATGTGCTCGGGATGACCCTTCTTGACAAAATTTTTCCATTCCAATCATGCTCCCCGCTTTCCATTGTATTGGCGAGCTCCACACAAATTTAAATCTCGGGTTGAACATATGTTATCACACGAAGATATCAAAATCCTATCACGTCTTCATTGGCCCATTAATCGTAGAGATATTTTATCTCTTCCTTTTATCGATGATCCTAAAGCTCGATTCCTTGGTAACATATATTTCATCTTTTTCAAAATAATATTGTGTTACCTTCTTATTCTAATATGAGCTTCTTTTCAGAAATTATGGGCTCTAAATTTACCTACAAAAAGACTCTTAACAAACTTGATGACCAAGCTTTAGAGCAAGCTCCAAAAAATACCAAGGTTTATTTCTCAAATACCTTTAGTTGAGATCCATGATGAACTTGAGCTCCAGGTTGTGTCTCAACCTGCATCTTAGCCTAACAAGGGAGGAGTTGCTACAAGTAGGACTATCAAAATGGGCGATTCAGCCCAGCCTGACCCTGCGGATCAGGTATAAATTCTAATGGTCTTGCTTGAACTATATTTTAAAACGACCAAACTTTTTGGCCTAGCTTGACCCTATGTTAGGTCAACGACTTAACGAGACCATTTTTGGCCTAATTAAAAATAAAAGATCTTTTATTTATATAATTTGCTTTAATTTTGTTTGAAAAAAATATGTCATTCGTTTATTCAAATTAATTTACAAACCTATTTAGATAAAATAAAATTATAAATATTATCATACAAATATTTATCGTATATTGTATCTATAATTAATAACAAAAAAAGAGAGTAAACAAGTAACATTAATTAAATAAGTAAAGTTTGCATAATATAAAGATTATAAAATATTGAATACTAATTTGAGTATACCAGAAGGTTCAACTTGATCATAACCATGTAACCAATTACGAATACAAATGAGAGCTTGCACATTTTCAGGAAGTAAATAATTTTTATACCGGTTTAAGATGTGACCACTAATGCTAAATGAAGATTCTGAAGCTACTATTGTAATTTGAATGTTTAACAATGTCACAAAATGAAAATAACTTAGTATTTAATTTCCAATTTTGATAAACAAAATGAGTCGTTACAATAATCTAGCCTTGAGAAGTTATAGTTGCCCATACATCAGAAGTCAAATATATTCTACTAGAAATATATCTAGTAATTAGTTTAAAATTAGGATTCAAAACTTTATTTACCTCTCAAACTTCCTCATACTCAAAATAACTAAATGGAAGATCATGCTTGATGATGCATTTAGCAAGTTCTCTAAATTTAGAGTCAAATTTTCATTATTTCAACAAGCTAGCCTTATTATCTAAAATATGACTTACATCATGATACTTTGAAAATACACTACATTTAGGAATATGTTGTCTTAAATTATGGTCCCTAAAATTCCTTTACGTGTATAGGATTTTTCACAACGCTTACATTTACATTTCTCTACCCCTTCAACTAAACCAACTTTTTCAAAATAATTTCACACTTCAAAAATAATGGTCTTTGTTTTCTTAAACACTTATTAGGCACATCAACACATTAGAATTATGATGGTTAATAGTAGGAGGAGCACGAGTGTGAAATAGAGTTTCCATAATTTAAACAACTAACACTACAAGAAATTTTAATATTAATCGCCGTCGGTAATATTTTTATTATTTAATATTAATTATTTTCCCCTATTACATTGTTAAAGCCTTTAATTATTATTAGATTAAGAGAATTGTTATTGGCGGGATTCGAACCCAAGTACCTTAAGTTAGAGGTCGATACTCCAACCACTAAGCTACGAGAATTTTTTGATAATAATTTACAAATAAATTATATTTATATATTTATATTTTATATATTTATATTTTATATATTTATATATTTATATATAATTAAATATTTATATATATTTTTATATATTTATATATAATTAAATATTTATTTTTTAAAATTATTTAATTTAAGAAATTATTATAAATTAATCTAATTATGATTAAATTAAATTATTAAATAAAAAATATTTAATTTTTTAATTAGGTGAATATTTACTAATTGTTAATTTACCGACGAAAATATCCGTTCGGTAAATTCATCTCATAAATTACCGATGGATTTATCGACGGATATATCCTTCGGTAACTAATTATTATTTCTACCGACGGATATATCCGTCGGTAAAATCAAATTCAACAAATATTTTATATCCGTCGGTAATAATTATTTTCCGACGGATTTAAATCCGTCGGTAAATATCCGTCGGTAATACGTGATTTTCTTGTAGTGTAAGTGTTGCGAGAATAAATAAAAAAAGTCATAAAGACAAAATAACAAAAGTAAAAATACTTGTAAAGAATACACATGGACACATACACAAAGGCTTAAAAAGAGGTGTTGGAGGTGTGAACATAAGAAGAGAACGTGAGAATTCACAACAAGAGTATGACGATACCAAAAGAGAAAGAAGATGACCAAAACAAATGAAGTTTATGTTTAGAGTTTATTCTTTTTTCTAAATTGCACACATACATACATATATATACACACACACAAAATATATATATATATATATATATATATATATATAATATAATATATAATATAAAATATATTATCAAATTAATTTATTATTATATATATATATATATATATATATATATTAATAAAATAATATTACTTTTATTTTATTTTAAAAATAATAATTATTTTATAAAATGGGTCAACCCATAAGTCTACGAGCTAGCTTGACATAAGCCCATTTAGGTCATGACCTAAATAGGTCGCACAAAAATTGACTTGGTTCTATTTAGGCCATAATTTTTTTAGCCTAGCCTGACCTATTTTTCAGGCCTTTTGGGTAGGCCCATCAGACTAAGCCTATTTTGATACACCTAGCTACAAGTGTTACTTCTCTTGCTTTTCCTCGTCCTTGGACTCCACGAGAGCCTCCTACTCATCCTCTCGTCCATATTTTTTGTGGAAGAGAAGGTCAACTTAACCGTCTCAATCATGTCTCCGTGAATGATCTTGAGGTTAGTTCTATGTGGCATCTTCACCTGACACTCGATGACATGAATAGAGGGGTTGCTTTCCCATATCCTTATGATGCATGTTTAGGATAATCAATCCTTTAAATAGTTTAGATTTTACTGAGGTAATGATGGATCGATGTATGTCGATCATTCATTATTGGAAAAATAATATTGTAGGGTGAAGCTCAAAGATATAGATATTTTTTGTCATTGAAAAAACAAAGGGATAAACTTCAGAGTACTCTATCCGATCATGAACGAGTTTTATTAGCTAAATCAAAGGAAAATTGAGTTCCCGTAGTTAAGGTGAAGGAGCTTCAACATCAGTTGAAAGAAAATGAAGTTATAGTACTTCATTTGAATGAAATTTAAGATCAAATTACTTTATCATCTAGTAGATCTTGCCAAAAAGTTGTTTGATGAGGCCGACAAAAGGGTTGAAGAAGCCGATCTCAAGTTTGCTAAGCTTCAAGAAGATCATGATAAACAAGCAACCAAGCTCTGAGTTGTTGTGGAGCAATTAGTCGAAGTATATGAAGATGGTTTTAATAAGTTTGTGTAATAAGGTACTATAATAAGTTCGAAAATTTATGTTGATTTGTTTAATCCCAAAAAAATTGTAGTTGATGGGTAGTTGGTAGATGACTAACCCTTTATGTAAATATATTTTGAATATTTGAACAATTCCTTTTGTAGTTTCTACTTTAATATTTGAACAAATTTTGTCAAGTTATGTCGTTTCTCTTTTATTTAGCTCGAACCTAATATATTAATTTTATGGAAGCCTAAGAGGCTTGACCATTTTACTCTAGTCTTCATTAGACGATTATAGATCGCTTAACCATCTCATTCTAGTTTTCGCTAGACAATTATAGATTGATAAGATGGAAGCACTGAAGGCTTGATCATCTCGCTCTAGTCTCATTTAGAACATTATAGATTGGTAAGATGGAACAATTAGAGGCTTGACCATGTTGCTCAAGTTTTCGCTAGGCAATTATAAATCAATTAGACGAAACCGCTAGAGGATTGACCATCTCGTTCTAGTCTCCACTAGGTAATTATAGATTAGTAAGATGGAATCGCTAGAGGCTTGACCATCTCGTTCTAGTCTATGCTAGGCAATTAGAGATCAATAGATCTTTTAATTAGCTTGGGGCTAATATAATCAATTTCATGGAAGCTTCATAAGCTTGACCATGGTTGAAGGTATTTTTACCACTTCAACTATAATATGCTTTTAGATGGGTTGCATTCCATGTTTGGGGTATCATTTTTCTTGACAATTCTTGTAATTTATATGCTCCATTTTTGAAGGACTCTATTTTTCAAAATGGGTCATCCTAATTTAAGTTTTGTATTTCATTAATTAAATCTAATTCTATTCGAAGATTTTCATTATTAATATGTTCATCGTAATTTTTCCCTCTCCAAGATTCTTCACCTATTTTAACTGGTATTATAACATTAGTACCATAGGTTAAATAAAAAAAATGTTTCTTGTGTTGAGAATTGAGGAGTATAATGATATTCACATAAAATGCTCGGTATTTCTTTGGCCTAACAACCTTTCGCTTGTCAAAGTTTACATTTAAGCTCATTTAAAATGACATTATTGTCATCTTTCACTTGTCCATTTGTCTAAGCATGTTCTACAAAGCTTACTAGATGCTTTACGGTTAACCCTTCTAAAGATTGTTCTATTTTTTTTTTCAGTAGACGATTTTCCATTGTCTGTAACTATGGTGCGAGGGATTCTATATCTATATATAATATTTTTCATATAAATTTATGAACTTGTTATGCAGTAATTGTTGCTAGAGGTTTTGCCTCAATCCATTTGTTAAGATAATTTATTGCTATAATAAGAAATTTTACTTGTTCTTTAGCTATAGGAAATTGACCGAGTATATCAATGCCCCATCTAGCAAAAGGCCATGCTAATAAAGTATTATGAAGCTCTTCGGGAGGTGCTTTAAATACTGGACCAAATTTTTGTCATATTTGACATTTTTTCACAAAATTTTTTGCATCTTGTTTCAATGTTGGCATGTAATATCCTATTCAGAGAATCCAAGTTGCCATATTTCTTGCTCTTGAATGTCCTTCACATATTTCGTTATGTAACTCGTTCCTTACATACTCTGCTTGGTTTTCATCTAAGCATTTTTGAAGGATGTTGAAAATACTCTTTTAAATAACTCTCCATTGTGTAAGACAAAGAGTATTAATAACATTTTTTATTTGATTAAGTCAATATGAGTTGAGCTGCAGGATTTGATGAAGTCTAGGTGTTATATTTTGCCTTGTGTGTGTCTAGAGTGTGAAGGTATGTGTGCTTTAATCCATTTTATAAGTTAATCATGCTCTAAGCAAGTAGGAATGCCTCAGTATTCACTAA